TAGCCTGTGAGGTGGATTGAGCCGAGAGAGAGTGAGAGAGAATTTTATGATGTTGTAAGCCACTTAGAGTCGCTTGATAGTGAGATGGACAGCAAAATAAATAAATAAACAAACAAACACAAACAAACAAACAAACAAACAAACAAACAAACAAATAAATAAATAAATAAATAAATAAATGTAGTCCGGAGCTGCAGCAGGGAGGGGCTCTTTCCCAGAGACCAAAGAGACAGCAAAGCTGGGAAGATCTGGTAAGCAAGAAGAGAGTGAAGGCAGATCCTCCCTAGCAATTCATAGAGTATATCTATAGCAGTTGCTTGGCAACTGACTCGTGTTTATGACAGTGGCAGGACTCCCAGGTCACCTTTGGCAACCTTCTAACAAGCCAAGTCAATGGGGAAGCCAGATTCACTTAACAACTGTGTTACTACTTAACAACCGCAGTGATTCACTTAACAATTGTGGTAAAATAGGGAAAAGCTCACTTAACAACTGTCTCACTTAACGACAGAAATTTTGGGCTCAGATGTCCTAAGTCAAGGATTGCCTGTAACTCCATGTGTCATTCTTGATTCTTTGGGACTGACATGAATCTTGCCAGATTAAAGTAACTATCTGCATAAATATAAGATACAGTACACTCTGTGAACTGCTAAGGGGGGCCCTCCTTCACCTTCTACCAGTCACTCTAAGTGCCACTCTCTGGCCCCCTGGAAAAGAGCCCCTCACTCCTGTGATGCTGGTCCACGTTCCAGCACAGGATAACTGGTCTCAGAGTTGGAAAGGAGAAAATAGCAGCAATTAAACCAAATCTCACCACCCCTTCTCTTTTTTCCTAGTCCAATCCTCACGTCACCCTGAACTGTGATGGAATGATTCATCGTCCGGACTTTCAAGGCCTTGCTTGCAACGTCAGTCATCCCATCTTCAGGAATAGCACGAAGGTATACAATCACCCTAGTGAGGCTGGTAGGGGGCTTGTAGTGGTGGCTCTTCACCATCTTCAATGCAGGATGGTGGCTGTATGGCAAGAAATGCTTACTGGTACTTAAGCCATGGTTTAATCAGCTCACCTAATTTCCTGGGATTGCAGGACACACTGGATTAAAACTAAGCACATGTGCTGAGTTTGCAGAATGTATGGATAGTTGTTTGCAAACCTTGCCAATCCTGTGCTGTGACTGGGCAATAGACTACACTCAAAAGTCACTATAGTTGAAGGAACAAGGCAAGGTCATTCCCACATACCATTATATTGGCTTAGTCCACAGGTCAGCAACCTACGGCTCTGGAGCTGCATGTGGCTCTTTGAGTGGGGGAAGAGGACTGGCAGACCAAGGGCAGAAAGAGAGAGAGGGAGAGAAAGAGAGAGAGGGGGGGAGGAAAGAGAGAGAGGGAGAGGAGAGGGAGAGAGAGAAAGAGAGAGAGAAAGAAAGAGAGGGGGAGAGGAAAGAGAGAGGGAGAGGAAAGAGAGATAGAGAGAGAGAGAGAGAAGAGAGAGAAAGAGAGAGAGAGGAAAGAAAAAGAAAGAGGGAGAGGAAAGAGAGGAAAGAGAGAGAAAGAGAGAGAGGGAGAGGAAAGAGAAAGAAAGAGAAAGAGAGAGGGGGGAGAGAGAGAGAGAGAGAGAGAGAGAGATCCTTTTGACATCTAAAATGAAGATAACACTGCAAATATCCTTTTTTACCTTTATGATATACAGTGCTTTTTTTCTAAAAAAAGAAAAGGTGCCAGAACTCACACACGTCATACAACCCACCTTGCCTACCCTACAAGGTTCCATCCAAAAAAGGTGCCGGAACTCCGTTCTGGGGGTTCTATGAGAAAAAAAGCCCTGATGATATATATATAGTACTCCTAGGGATGAGTTACAATTTGCAAATCAGTTGGTCATCTTACATCACACAGTATGGAGCAGCTGACCCTCTTGCAGTTATTTATTTTTTTGTCTAATAGTATATTCTTAAACTAGAGATTGTGACTTTACCCACTTTTTGGAAACAGAAGCTGCTGAAAGATGAGACCTATAGCAAAACCGGTATCCTGAAAGAAATTATGGGCTACTTCACACTTTACAATAAGCCATCATTTGCTTTAGCCATGGTTTCCTGAATCATCCACAATGGCTGGCTCATATATTATGCTAAATTAGAAACAGGAACTTACAAACCACATCAGTGGTGTTTGGCCCAACATGGTGTCAAACAACAACATCCCAATCACATTTAGGTATGGCACTGTTGAGTGAAACACCCCGCCCCCCATGACTCTAGAGACAATTTAAGCATCTTGGCTGTGGAATTTAGAGGATCAGGTGCAAAAGGCAGAAAATGTCATATACACATACATATACATATACGTATACATTATACATATTCAAAATTTTGTGGCTGACAAAGTTACCCAACAGATAAGACACATATACATATACATATATACACACACATATACATATACATACACACACACATACACACACACATATATATATATGTATACATACACACACATATATACATATACATACATATATATATTTGTGTATGTATGTGTGTACACACATGCACATATATATTTATATATATAATATATTATAATTCTGAATGTAAGGATATGCATCTTCTATTGTTTAGTGAGATTAATGGGAGTGAAAGGGCTTGATCTGATGTGTCAAAGGCCAGAGACATAGAATGAAAAAGACAGTAAAATGCTTGGCAGACTATCTCAGTGTTGACCTGCTCCCTCTTAGACTGTGATCCAGCTTCAGTTTGGTGTGCTCGACAACGTTGCCTGGAAAGACAACTTGGAGATGGTGGTGTACGTCACCAGGTAAACTTCAATTACTTATTTTACTGACCCATTGTGTTTTATCTCTTGCAGCTTTATTATGTTAGGTCAGTGGTGGCGAACCAGAGGCGGCACTCAGAGCCCTCTCTGTGGGCACACGCGCCATGCCCCGGAAATGGCAACCATCCCTCTTCAACCAGCCGCCAGCTAACTCGCTGAGGTCCCACATGGCCAGATGCATCCCAGCACCCATGCGCTCGCTGGCCTCTGTGTCCAGGGGCTGATGGTGTCAGGCAGCAGCCGCCCCGGCCCATCTCACCTTGCCCTGTGACAATGGCACCCCTGTCCTGCCTCGTCTAACCCCGCAGGATGAGCCTCCTGCCCACCGCCCCACCTACCAGAGACCCCCTGGATCTCCCCCAACCCTGCCCGGCCCCCACAGGTGACCCTCCCCATGAGCAACATTGAGGTGATCATGCCCACCTTGGGCACACCCACCCAATCTGACATGTCCAACACAGCCACCCCCACCCAGTGGGCCACGCCCACCTGGCACCCGGCGATAAATAAGTGGGTTTTGGGTTGCAGTTTGGGCACTCGGTCTCCAAAAGTTTCGCCATCACTGTGTTAGGTGCTACCTAGAAGGTAAAATAAGCTGTCCTAATCTTAAGTCTTCCACTCAGGATGAGAAGGGAGAGGAAAGATGGAAAATTAATGAAGTTTTGGAAAGGAAAATCATGGAGAAATGGCAGGGTGCACATGGTAAAATTGGGTGGATCCGAAACTGTGAAGATCTTAAAGAAAAGAGGAAAGTGGATTGAAAAAAAAAGATTAGTTTGCAGCGGCAGAGAAAACCGTGATAGCAGCCATCCGCGTATAGCTTCTATTTATTATAATGTAATGCTAATTTAGTATTTATTTACTACAATGTAGTACAGATAGTCCTCAACTTATGACCATAATGGAGCACCAAATTTCCATGGTAAGTCATGATGGTCATAACTCAAGACACCCACGTGACCGTATCCAATTTTACTTTTTTTGTAGCTGTCATTAGTTGAGCATGGTAGTCGTTAAGTGAACACCTTGGTCATTACAAAAGTCTATTCATGAGCGTTTTTCTTTGGAAACCTGCCAAAAAGGGTGGAAAATCGTGGTCACGTGACTGCAGAATGCTGCAACTAGCTGTGTAGCTCTCAGAACTCTGGAACTGGGTTATAAATATCTTTTTTGGGGGGGGGTCTCTTATAACTTCAAATGGTTGTTAAGCAAGGACTGCCTGTTTCAGATGCTGGAGAAGGATTATCTGCATGTTGGCTATAACAAAATGTACTTGTTGCTTTCATTCTAGCCTTTTCTCTATCCACTGCGGGATGAAGGCCCCTTCTGCATGTTTCCAACCAATATGGTATTTTGCCTGTTGGGCCCGCAATAATTACTGATGTCGTTGATCCATCTTGTTCTAGGTTTCTTTCGTGCAAGCTTTTTATTAAGTGGGATCCATTCTGTGGCTGCCTTGATCCACCTGCCATCATTTCTTCTTGCTATGTGACCAGCCCATTTCCATTTTAATTCTTTTATTCTCTTGATGTTATCCTATACCAGTGATGGAGAACCTTTTAGAGACCGAATGCCCTAAATCCGCCCCTGCCCCGCCCCCCACTCCACCCCCTGCCCACCCTGCTCTGCCCCTGCACCCCATCCACCCACAGGGCCACCCACCACCTCCATGGCCCACGGCAGCCCTCCCCACACCCCGCAGCATCAACTGCACGCGACAGGGCACGATGGCGGAGTCTTGTCCCCGCTGCCCAGCTGCCATGTCTTTGGCTGTGCTGCTCCGTGCGGGCAGCGCTCGGGGGCAACTATCCTCCAGGGGGGCTGCTGGTGACGAGGGGGCCACGGGGGAGGCAGGGCTGGGGCAACGGCGCGGGTGCCCACAGAGAGGGCTCTGAATGCCATCTCTGGCACGCGTGCCATAGGTTCACCACCACTGTCCTATACTGTTGTTTGTTCTCTAATCCATGTGTGGGTCTTTCTGTCTTGTCTTGCAATGCCGAGCATGTATCTTTCCATGGCTCTTTGCGCCATTCGTAGCTTTTGTATCGATTGTGAGGGTTAGTGTCCATGTTTCGCCGGCATATGTTAGAGCAGGTGGCACACACAGATCGAAAACTTTTCTCTTCAGGCATAGGGGTAGATTGTTCTTGTTGCTTATGGATGCAGAAGTCTGGAACATCTCTGGAATAAGCAGTTCTAAGATTGTATTGTGTAATCTTGCATTACTCTCTTACAGTGAAAATGAGGACAATGAAACTCTTTCAAACAACAAAGCTCATCGTAGCATCCCTGTAATGTACCCCATCAACATCATTGTTAAGGGGTAAGACTCTGGTTGCCCTTTCTTCCATTTTTCTCCTGGAAATGATAGCAGAGCTGTATGCCACTGTAGTATAATTCCATAATTAAGCAGAATGAATCTAACATCCAGAACAAGCTAGTGCTTGTGAATCAATCACACTCTGATCATGTAACTTTACAAATACCTATGTTTGAAATTCCTGCAAAATCTCCCACTCTCATTTCCCAGAAGATATGACATTTCCTTGGCTTTCAATAGCTGCTTATTATGGCACCATCACAAATGTAGAATATACTCTAGAGCAGGGGTGTCAAACTCGCAATGTCACGTGACGTATCGCGACTTTTTTTGCCATTGCCGGCAATGGGGTGGGTGTGGTTTTGCTATGATGCATCCGGCCCACCGGCCGGCAGTTTGACACCCCTGCTCTAGAGTTACTTTGGTTGGTCCCAAGATTGGGCTTCTAAATGAGGTTTTTATTGTATGGTTTGCTATGGGGGGGTCATAGAATATTAAGCAGAGTCCACACCTTGTCAACTTTGAGTTGCAGCCCTCTCTTTTTTCCCCCACCACTTGTCTTCTTTCTTTCCACAAAGAGAACCAGTTAAAAAGACTGAATGGCTGCATAATGTCTCTCGCTTTAAACAGTATTAGGGGCTCTCTGTCTGCAAATACTGCAGTGTTATTTTTCCCTTTTCAGCTTGTATTGTGGACTGTTCTTAGAATTTAGAATAGAATAGAGCTGGAAGGCACCTTGGAGGTCTTCTAGTCCAGTGCCCTGCTCAAGCAGGAGAAGGGTTCTAGTAATAATAAGACAGACATGTCAAACACAAGGCCCGGGGGCCGGATGCGGTCCGCGAAGTGGTTTCATGTGGCCCGCAAAGCCATCCTGGAAACAGTGAGGGAACGGCCCCCGCTGCCTTGGCCCTGGCCCAGGCCGGCCGGGAGCCAATGTACAATTTTGTGGTAGCCATCTATGCTGAAACGCATTCAGTCTTAGCTCCATAAGCCCCTCCCCCGCATGGCCTGAGAGGAACAGTGAGGCTCCTCCAATGGATCATGCCTTGGCACTTGCCCCGGTCCCACTCCCTTCTGCCAGAGACCCTCAGATCTGTCCCACTCCTGCCCAGGCCCCCACAGGCCCCCTTGACGCCAATGATGTAGAGCTGGCCACGCCTACCCAGTAGGCCACACCCACTCCATCTACACCCACCCAGTAGGCCGCACCCACCCTGGCCACACCCACCCGGCCCCCCCAGGGCAACCGCAATGCTGATGCGGCCCTCAATGAAATTGAGTTCGACACCCCTGTAATAAGACCTCTTGCTGTGGCATAAATTCCACTTTGGGGTGGGTTTCCTTCCTTGCTTAACCATTCCTGCTTTTGTCTCTTGCAGGTTAGAGACATCTAGCCAATACATTGACTTCAGTTCTAAGCAGCAAGAAAACAAGAACATGACACACTCCTACCAAGTGAGTCAGCACTTGCAGGATTTACCTCAAAATAAGAACTCTGCAATGTCCTTCATGGTGCTTAGAATCCAGCGGACTTGGGAGAATGTGGCCCAAAGGCTTATTTTTAATGTGTTTTTATTTATTAAAGGAATTTATATGGCTGCCCAAGTCACACACAGGTGGCTCCGTGTGGCTTACAACATTAAACATTACCAACCATATAACGGTTGGTCGCACAGTCAGCCAGATGTTTAGATTGGGTTTGGTATTTTTGTCCATCTATCAAATCTTTCCCAAGCACTTGGGGCATAGGCAGATGTTGTTCTTTGGTGGTGTTAAAGGTCTTGTCGCAGGATGTAAGCTGACTCAAGCAAAGCTGCCTTTTGCAATTGACCAATGGTAATGTTGTCAGTGACGATGGTGTTCAAGTGATGCTCCAGATGTTTTGGGACTGCACTCAAGACGTCTATTACTATTGGTACTATCTTTGCTTTCTTTTACCACAGTTGTTGTACTTCTATTTGCAGGTCTTTTGTATGTGATGATTTTCTCTACTTCTTTCTCTTCTCTTCTGCTGTCTCCAGGTATTGTAATGTCCACTATCAAGACCTTTTTGTCTTTCTTAATGACAGTGGTTAAGTGTGGTGTGGCAGGTGCTTGTCTGTTTGAATTCTCAAGTTCCAGGGCACTTTGGCTTCTTCATTTGCTCTTACTTTGTCTAGTTTGTGGTCCCATCAGTTCTTGCTTGCAGGCAAATGGTATTTTTTGCAGAGTTTTCAATGCACCGTTGTTGCTACTTTGCCCCTCCCCTTCCTTCACTTCCAGGTAACTAACTGGGTCCTGGGGGTGTTCCCACCGCCTAAAGTATCGGTGTATGTCAAAGTGCCAACTAAAGTTCCTGCTGGATTGATATGGAAGATTGATAAAGTCCTAACTGAGGTACGTCAGCTTTACTTAATGGAAACTCGTGTGAACTGTTATTCTGTGCTCAAATATAAACTCCCGAGGCTCTATTTTAGACAATCTGGTTGGTTCCATTAAAAGGATCTACTGGAGGTGAGATCAAAACTTGCAATTTGGCAGGTGCAGCCCTGTGATCCAAGCCTATGGTTGCACCTATACAAGAGGTGGGGCTTGGATTGCAATGTCATACCCACATCTTCCAGGTTTTCACACAGACACAGGCACACACACTTTACAATTACCAGACACATTTAATTTTTTAAAAGAATACTATGAATCTTCCCTGGGATATCCTTATCTTTAAATGATTTTGTCTAAGGCAGGAGTAGGCAACCTCAGCTCTTTTATGACTCGTGGACTTCAACTCCCAGAATTCCTGAGCCAGCATGGCTCAGCTTGGAAACCTCTCCCTTTCCCCTCAGCATGGCTGGCTCAGGAATTCTGGGAGTTGAAGTCCACGAGTCATAAAAGAGCCAAGGTTGCCTACCCCTGGTCTAAGGTAAAGAGTGTTAATGTCCTTTTTTCTAAAATACAAGTGTGTTAGGAATTATAGGAGGAGAAAATAAGTTTACAAAGGCAGGGTAGGTAACACAGCGTGTTTGACATGAACCAGGTATACTTTTCTATATTAAAAAAGTTTACCGTTTACTTTGTCTCCTTGTATTACAAAAGTCAACCAATATTTTGAGCCCTCCTTTTCAGATCACTGAAATGGTTCCTGTATAACTTCCATTCTCATCCTATGTTCCAATCTAATTATGCACTTAATTAATATCTTGTGTCTAATTGGAAATCATGACAAATAATCTGAGGCTACTGTATTTTGTTTTTGCTGTATTTAAAATACTCTTTTGAAAAACATTTTTGGGTTGGATTAATGTAGAGGAAAAAAAACCTTGAAGTTTCACCGTGTAGTTTTCCAACCTTTTAAAAATATTTCTGTAATTCTCTAAAGGCATGCTGTCTAGGAAGTCCACAATGAGTTAAAGATTTTGAGGCCAGCAGCATCTGGAGCTCCTTGCTGCTTTAGGTAGACTGGAAAAAAAATAACAGTTGTGGTGTCACAGCACAAGCTCTGCCCACTTCAGCCATCCATTTGATGTTACAATGTGTGTTTTAAAAAAGGGTAGGACTTGTGCTTTGTGATGCCACAATGCTGCTTTTATTCATCTGGCCCTGTTTACCCCTCCCTCAGAGATGCCAGTGTTTGACATCCTATATTAATAATAATAATAATAATAATAATAATAATAATAATAATAATAATAATAATAATAATAATAATAATAATAATAATAATAATAATAATAATAATAAAAAAATTGGAAGGGACCTTGGAGGTCATCAGGTCCAACCCCCTGCTCAGGCAGGTAACCCTATACCATTTCGGACAAATGGCTGTCCAGTCTCTTCTTAAAAACTTCCAGTGTTGGAGCATTCATCGCTTCTGGAGGCAGGTTGTTCCACTGGTTAACTGTTCTAACTGTCAGGAAATTTCTCCTTAGTTCTAGGTTGCTTCTCTCCTTGATTAGTTTCCATCCGTTGCTTCTTGTCTTGCCTTCAGGCGCTTTGGAAAATAGCTTGACTCACTCTTTAAAGATCATGTCTAGTCTTCAGTTACTAATATAATATCAACAGATCCCTGCCAAGGAAATCTTTTATGTAGTGGGTGCCTTGCTCAATAGTAGTAACTGTGAGAGGGACCTCGGAGTCCTAGTGGACAATCACTTAAATATGAGCCAGCAGTGTGGTGCTGCAGCTGCCAAAAAAGTCAACTCAGTGCTGGGCTGCATTAACAGAGGGATAGAATCAAGATCTCGTGAAGTGTTAATACCACTTTACAATGCCTTGGTAAGGCCACACTTGGAATACTGCATCCAGTTTTGGTCACCACAATGTAAAAAAGATGCTGAGACTCTAGAAAGAGTACAGAGAAGAGCAACAAAGATGATTAGGAGACTGGAGGCTAAAACATATAAGGAACGGCTGGTGGAATTGGGTATGTCTAGTTTAATGAAGAGAAGGACGAGGGGGGACATGATAGCAGTGTTCCAATATCTCAGGGGCTGCCACAAAGAAGAGGGAGTCAAGCTATTTTCCAAAGCGCCTGAGGGCAGGACAAGAAGCAACAGATGGAAACTAATCAAGGAGAGAAGCAACCTAGAACTAAGGAGAAACTTCCTGACAGTTAGAACAATTAACCAATGTTACAACCTGCCTCCAGAAGCGGTGAATACTCCAACACTGGAAGTTTTTAAGAAGAGACAGGACAGCCATTTGTTCGAAATGGTATAGAGTTTCCTGCCTGAGCAGGGGGTTGGACTCGATGACCTCCAAGGTCCCTTCCAACTTTTATTATTATTATTATTGTTGTTGTTGTTGTTGTTAAAATTATTGTTTCTCAACCTTGGTCACTTGAAGATGTATGGACTTAAATTCCAGAATTCTGGGAGTTGAAGTCCACCCACCTTCAAGTGGTCAATGTTGAAAAACACTGGCTCAAATTCATTACCATTCTCTCACCAAAAGCCTTTCTTACATATAACCAAGCTCATATGACCAAATTCTATATTCTTAAAAGATAATGCATTATTTAATTTACTTAAAATGCAATATGTATGATTCTCCTGTACATAGAATAAATAACTCACCAGTCTCACTATTGCAGGGAAAAAAGAAGATGCACAATTTATGCTGGCATACTTTTCTAGCGGCTCAAAGATTGGTGGACTATATATAAGTTTTGCATGACAATAATACGGAATAGGGTTTTTTTTTGTTTTTTTAGGATCCTAATGTGATTTGCCAGCCTGATAAAACGAACACAACTGTGAAGAACTATCCCAAGTTAATTCAGGTAGCTTATGTCTCTAAATCTGACGCAACATTATTAAGTAATTAAAAATATGCTGCTGTACACGTGCAGGCTCGTGCATTGGGTGGTTCGTGTTATATAAACAACAGATGGGAGACGAAAGAGAAAAAGAAGCAGAGATAAACCAAAGAAAAACAAGTACTTATTTCACAAGCCTTGATTCCAGTAAATTAGGAATTAGCAGAGGGTAGATTGGGCTTTACTGATTGCCAAACCCGTTTCTTTTAACAACAATAACTCTAAGACAGAATCTGTCCCTCCAAACCAGGGGTGTCAAACTCAATTTCATTGAGAGCCGCATCAGCATTGCGGTTGCCCTCGGGGGGCCGGGTGGGTTTGGCCAGGCTGGGTGCGGCCTACTGGGTGGGCGTGGATGGAGTGGGTGTGGCCTACTGGGTGGGCATGGCCAGCTCTACATCATTCGTGTCAAGGGTGCCCGTGGGGGCCTGGGCAGGAGTGGGACAGATCTGAGGGTCTCTGGCAGAAGGGAGTGGGACTGGGGCAAGTGCCAAGGCATGGTCCACTGGAGGAGCCTCACTGTTCCTCTCAGGCCATGCGGGGAGGGGGCTTATGGAGCTAAGACTGAATGCGTTTCAGCATAGATGGCCACCACAAAATTGTACATTGGTTCCTAGCTGGCCTGGACCAGGGCCAAGGCAGAGGGGGCCGTTCCCTCACTGTTTCCAGGATGGCTTCGCAGGCCACATGAAACCACTTCGCGGGCCGCATCTGGCCCCGGGGCCTTGTGTTTGACATGTCTGCTCCAAATTATGCTGAGATGGAGAACAGTCAGGAGTGGATTAGATGTGTGCACATGAAAAAGACTACTAGCATTGTTTTGGGATTAAAACCTCTCCTGGACCAAGCTTATATTCAGAGGCACCTGGGGAATCTAAGTACAATTTTCACATATCTCCCAACCATTGTTTTATACCTGGTCCCAGAGCAGTGATGGCGAACCTTTTAGAGACTGAGTGCCCAAACTGCAACCCAAAACCCACTTATGCATCGTCAAGTGCCGGGTGGGTATGGCCCATTGGCTGGGTGTGGCCAATTGGGTGGGCGTGGCTGCGGTGGTAACAGCAGACTGGGTGGGACTAAAAAGTTCAAGTCAATCAATTTCAACTTTGCAAGATCATTTTTTTTCCCCGCGAGAAGTTGAAATTGACTGTTTGAACCTTTTTTTTTGCACACGGCGGCGGAGGCCTAAAGTGAAAAGATTTTATAAAACCCAGCTGAAGGCCTAGGACTGGGGCGACGGCGCGCGTGCCCACAGAGAGGGCTCTGAGTGCCGCCTCTGGCACCCGTGTCATAGGTTCGCCACCACTGTCCTAGATTCTCAGGAAGGAACTGATAACTCTTGTGTGCTGATGCTTAGGTAAATTTAGAATAGCCTAAAAAGGTTTGATGGAAGAGGTGAGCCTCAAGCAGAACTTTGAAGAAACAAAGGAAATCCACTTCGTAGGAATTAAGAGTCTTCATAGGAATCTGGGAGTTAGACACCGGGTTAGGGACAGTAAGGCAGAAAAAGTATTTTGGGGTGAAATGTCTATGGAAATTCTCAGTCATCCAGGTCAAGGCTTTTCAACCAGTGGTACGGGTACCACCTGTGGTACATTGGCACCTGGCAGGTGGTACGCGAGCATCCTAGGAAAGTGGTAGCAGGGGAGGGGAATGAACTGAACCAGTAGCAGCACCGCACAAGCCTGAGTAAGAGATGGCTGGAGCTGCAGGGCTGTCAGGTCTCAGCGGAAGCGCCAGGATCAGCACCAGGCTCCAGCTGGAGCTCAGCGCTGATCCTGGCACTTCTGCTGAGCCCAGAAGAAGCACCGATCAGCTGGAATGTTGCAGCATCTCCAGGGTCTTGTGATTTACATTCAGATGCTTGGCAACTGATTCATATTTATGACGGTCACAGTGTCCCAGGGTCATGTGAAGTGACCCAAACCTGCTGCAACCACCCAGCAGACGGGGGGAATAAAAACCAAACACCCCCCCACCCCACCCCCACTGCCAATCCTCAACAGAAATGCTCACAACAATGAAAACCTCGGACAGGAGGAAGAGCGCCGCCAGGTGGGCAGGCAGGTGTCTTGCTCGGCTGTGGCTTGGGGGGCACTTTTTTCAGTGCCATTGTAACTTCAAACAGTCACTAAGCGAACTGTTGTAAGTCGAGGACTACCTGTACTTCATCACTTTTTTCCTTTTTTTTTTTTGGTCATCACGTTTTTGACACCTTGCTAGGCGACTGGTGGTACTCGGATATTGCCATATCCTAAAAGTGGTACAATGGGTGAAAAGGTTGAAAAGCCCTGTCCTAAAGGACACAGAGGATGCTACTCCAATCCCTCTGAGACAGTGGTGTAGCGTGGGTTGTCAGCACCCGGGGCAAGGCAAGTAATTTGCGCCCCCCCCTCCACAGTGGGCGGCGACCCGGCGGCTCGGATCGGATTCGCACAGCCAGCACTGCAGAGAGAGTGAGTGAGCCAGGCAGGGGCAGAGAGCTGCGAGCGCGCCCCCCCAGATGTTGCGCCCGGTGCGGCCGGCCCCCCCTGCACCCCCCCACGCTACGCCTCTGCTCTGAGATAAAGAACAGGAAGGGGCTGTGTTAGCATGATTCCTCCCCTATGAGTAGTAGAATAGACTGGAGACCTACTTCAGAGAATTTAGCTAAACCACCTCAGTGTCTTCCATCCAAGTAGATTTTTTTGAATGAACTGGGCATTCTATGCTAGGAACACATGCATAGATTGAAACATACTGAAATCTTTCTGGAATTATGTCATCCATAAGTTACCTTTTTATTTTTATTTGTGTAGATCATTTGGGGGCATGTCCAGTTTCTTAAACATTTTAAATAAA